ACTGGTGTAGCAGAAAAGTTAGTACGATACATGAAGATTTGTTTGAAAATATAATCCACGAAATAAGGAACAAATTACACAAATTACGTAGTTAAATGAACGAATCTAATTAGCAGTATTTAATCAGATAAACGAAAAAACGCGAGAGAAATTGGGGCAAATATTATGAAACCTCTATTATATGAAAGTTATGTTATTGTGGAATCATTTGTTGTTGAATTTCTACAATGTCAATCTGGGGTTATTGTCAAAATGCGAAAAATGTTCCTCTGGGTGAGTTCGGTTGGGAAATTCAAATGAGACTTTAAATAGTTGATTGGAAAGTCACTCAAATCGGTATGGCGATCACAATATTAAACATATCGAAATGTGGACCTTATCGTTGTGTGATACTCACGCAGATATATCTAATATCGCGTCCAACTCTGAAATACCGAATATCGGGAGATAATGTTATTGTGGGTATTATATTAAATATTTGTAGCCTCAAAAATGTTTGCATGAAAAGGTTACAAATGAAACGACAAAGTTAACATATTCGCCATAGTTTGGGGAGGGTATAAAACATGCTGCAAGTGCCAAAAATCGTGTGCTCAATATATCCGTAAAGAGATTTGTGGAGGAGACGGGCTTCGGCAATAAATTAGAACCTGACCATTAAACGCGTGCAAAATGACTTACTGCTCGGAGATCTAAATGTGTTATATTCGAATTTTCTTAGAAACAAATATTTTCCAAGTATATTGTTTATGGGATGAACCTCGTTCTCATGACCTTAAGATTTTGCACGTTCGTTCCAGGATGTTTGGTTTCACTTCTTGAATATGATCCAGATTAATTATTCGCTGTGTATCTTTTTCTAGGCGATATTTTCTGTCGTCGGACGTAACAATTATCATCCTCGAGAAATGCAACAATAACAAGACAAAACGGGACGAACTTTTAATACTCTGTGGCTTAAATCGTCAAAATACCAAATATCGTGAGATACCGTTACATGGAGACTATGAGAAACCGTGGACTAACAGGGCCCTGCCTACTGAGGTCATATGTTCAAAATTCTGATTTCCATAGCTATATCGAATCATAATCTTACCACAAGTATGCTATAAAAACGCTTAACGGTGCTTTTTGAAAGTAAACATTTGTTTTTTATTATTCTTGTTCACTTTTTGGTGATATTTTAAGAAGAAGATTCCTATAAAAGCAGATGGGAAATTTGTTTTTAAAAAGCTGAATATTATCCATAAAAACTTTTATGTGGATGCTATACGAAGACGTATTGCTGCATAAGTATTTTTTATCTTAGGCTGTAGTACCCATTACGAACTTAAGTCACGAAGAACTTCTTCGAAGTAGTCACGAAGAACTTCTTGTATAGAATTCAAACAATTATTAAAAAGCATCAAAATACCGAATATCGTTATATGAGGGCTATACGATATGGTGGACCGATATAGCCAATCTTCGTACTTGACCTGCCAGCAGACAAAAGCAGATTGGTACAACATTTTAGCTTCCTATCTTTATTCGTTTTGCCTCTAGTGTGATTACAATAGACGGACAGACGGACAGACGGACGAACTGAGAGGGCTAAATCGTCTTAGAATTTTACACTGTTTGTTAGGTCTAAACTTATATAAGGGTATAAGAAAGCATCATAAGTGGATCGTCTTAAATTTGCAAGAAAATGTAAAAAAGGGGAAAAAAGTAATTTTCTCTGACGAAAAGAAATTTAATCTAGACGGTCCTGACTCATACTCATCCTATTGGCACGACTTCAGGTCAAACGATGTTCGAAACGTAATTTCGGTGACGGCAGCGTTATGGTGTGGGCAAATCAAATATCTCTTTCACTCCTACAAAAAGAACAGTACAATTTATAACGAACTGTTGAAAGATGATTTATGGATGGAAAATGTGTGAATCCATGTTTCTAAACAATCGAAATGTTGGTTTAATGAACTTAATGATCCGGACTTGTGGGGATACAATGTCCGTAAAGTTTACGCAAATAATGCCCAAAATGTCGGCATAATAACAGTAACAGAGCTAGATGTAAGAATTAAACAAGTCTGGGAAAAATTAATTCGGATCTCCTTAAAAAAATAGTGGAATCAATGCCGGACCGTGTTTTTGAAATAATCCACAACAAAGGATCATCCACACATTATAAATGCTGCCACAGTGGCTCGCAAATTTAAGTGCGATTATAGGAAACGGGATTTTGACTCAAAAATGAGTAAAAACAAATATACAAAGTGCAAATGATTTTTTTTGGTTAACAATATTTTAAGTGAGATCTTAACTAATTTAATAAACAAATGCATAGTCCTCTATATGGTTCCATTTTAATTTCGTGTAATTTTTTAAGGAATAAGAATAAAGATATCGACGTAGAAACGTTCAAATTGAGTTTGCCGACAGCGCTGCTTATTTTCGAGTGCTGATAAAGTCAATTTTTAAACAATTTAATAAACAACTATACATTATCAATTACTCAAATAATGACATAACTATAAAATGCGTTTTTAGAGCTAGCAAATTTTTATTTTATATACAAAGTTCCCTTTATCTTTCTATCAAATTCTTCGTGTTGATATGCATTGAAATCAAAAAGTTATAGCTTTTTTATTTGGAGTTCGACATAAATCAACAAAATAATATAAATTAAATAAATACTTCAAGCCATGTTCAATATTGCATAGAAATTAAGCAACGATACCTCTCTTCATGTAACCTCTCTTCAAATAATTGTCTCTGAGATTGAATTACTTTTTGTGCAACGGAATTACATTAGATATGGCACTCTATTAACAAATAGGCGGATTAGCATTAATTGGAAATCACATCATTATACCCTACACCACAAGGTGGTCAGGGTATTATGTCTTTGTGCATTTGTTTGTAACAGGCAAAAGGAAACGCGATAGACCCATAGTTCCTTTTAATGATCTGCATAAAATCACATTCTGAGTCGATTTATGCATATCCGTCCGTCCGTCTGTCCATGTATTTTTGTAAACAAAGTACAGTTCGCAATTATTGCCCTATCCAAATGAAATTTAGCACAAATCATTTGTTTGGCCCAAGGACGAACCCTATTGAAATTGGAGATAATCGGTCAAAATTTAGATATAGCTCCCATATATATCTTCGTCCGATTTGCCTTTTATTGTGCACCAAACGTGTAATATCAGCCCGAATAGTATGAAATTTTGCATTTGTCATTTTTGTCCTTCGCAGCCGTAATATGCACTCTGTTACAACAATCTTTGGGGAAATATATCAAATACAGCCCAGAAATACATGTGCCAAATTTTATCGAGATCGGTTCAGATTTGGATATAGCTCCCATATATAACTTCGTCCGATTTACCTTATATTGTGCACCAAACGTCTAATATTTGTCCAAATGGGATGGAATTTAGCACCTAGGACCGAATTTAGTTTGGAAGCTAGTATGTCAAATTTGGTGAAGATCGGTTCAGATATAGCTATAGCTCCCATATATACTGTTCATCCGATTTGTTATATTTGTTACCCACAGCCGTAATATGCACTCCGTAACAACGATATTCAATATATCAAAAACAGCTCAGAAATATCTCTGCGAAATTTTATGGAGATCGGTTCAGATTTGGATATAGCTCCCATATATATCTTTATCCGATTTCAAAGTCCGAATTTAAAGATACAAATGCTTCGGCATATTTAGACCTTTGAACTTTAACTTATAATTATAATCATAGCGTGTATAATTGAATTCGCCCAAGAAACTTTTAATTTTTATGCAGAGCTCTACTAAATTAGCAATGTGGTGTAGGGTATCATAAAGTCGGACCCTCCCGACTTTAGTACTTTCTTTACTGGTTAAATAAATATTATGCAAGTGGAACGTTTTCCCTAAAATCGTCTTCGAATAATTCTGTTTCAAGTTTTCTTCGTCCATACTTTATATTGTCTATGGAATAAGTATTGGAAAATTCATTTTATATATGACTCAAATATGCCTTTGATTTAATTTATACTTAAAATACCAAATCGGTAAACAATTGATAGGTTCAAATGTTTAGCATGATACAAAATGTTTCATAACCTGTTAAATGGGAAGAGTATATATAATCAAACGAATTCGTCCTTGGACAGAACAAAAAATGTTGGGAATTGCGTATTGGTCAAATTGTGACTTTAGGTATATCGATCTTCCCATTTCGCCTAGCTAAGGTCGTAGTTATAGTCTGATGCTGACGAAATGGATTTAAAATTGGATTCAAAATAGAACCTATCGGCGCGTAATTTCAAGAAAAAATAAGATTTTAGAACGGGAAAGAAACCCACAATTTTGGATAGTCATGGAATAATATTAAGCGGTTGAGATGGATCCTAACTTGAGTGCGAGGAATACCGAAATTTCCATTAAACCGCAAATATTTTTAATGCTGAAAGTCACTTCCCAGCTAAATTACATTTAGATGCCTGAAAACGGAACTTCTGACCTTTACATTGATGATATATGTAAATATAAACCGGAATCGAAATTTTCGACTATTATTTTGAATTCCCATTAACACGACAGAGGGTAAATATAGGGGAAATACAAAAGCCGAGGTAACCCTTTTGTATCGCCATGTGACATTATTAGAAGAATGAAATGAAATGTTTGAAAAAAACAGTTTCGGATGGGTAATTTGTGATATTTGCTCTGGAGCCAGTAAGGTGATGTGTATTTGTATCTTTTAGAGGTCGTATGGTTTTGGAAAACATTAGCTCTCAGTTCTATCACAACATCTACTTTTAAATTGCAAATTAACACATTGCTTCCGTAAATTACAGTATTGTAGGGTAGGATCGGCCATGCCCAACGTCGAGTATTTACTTTTATGTTTTATTTTTCAATTTTAAACCATCTGACCAACAAGACCAATAATAACGTAAAATAAAGAATAACAATTGCCCAAATAATAATTCACAAAGCTTTTAATTGTTATTAAACTTACCTGAGCTTCAGGTATTTGTCGTGTGGAGAATCGTTTGAGAAATGAGTCTTCCCTTTTCAGCGGTGGTTTTTTCTGCATTGCAGATGATATTTGAACTGTTGTTCGAAGCTTCATCCATCGTTGATTTGAACGTGTCCTGTTGTTGTAAGAGTACTATGTTAAATATCAATTTGTCAATCACTAATAAGGCCACACAATGTTTCCGAAGGCCAATAATAAATACACATTTAAAGCACAAAATGGTAAAAATTTCTAACGAAATAACAGTGGGAAGGAGAAATAAAAACGGAAAAAAACACTTTAGATGTCTACTTACGTTACAATAACATGGACTACTTACAAAACTTTTGGATGACACAGATACGGAACGAACGAGCGAGCGAGCGAGTTTTATCAACATTTAGATGGAGTGGAGAGTGGTTGAGACTATGATGCACTTATCTACACATACAGTTGCACCCCGTTGGGGGCATACGGTTACGGACGAGAATGGATGTGGAGTATGAAAACGAAACATAAACGTAAAGGCAAATCGAAACGTAAACGGAACGGAACGGAAACGTAAACAACATTTACTACCCATACAACAAATATTGTATGTTTGTTTGTCTGTCTGTGTCATCTCACACATGTCACATGCAAATCCACTTCACATCGATTTCTAAAAAAAGAATAGCAACATTGAGTTTCAAAAACCAACAGCAAAAACAGAAAACAAAAGCAAAAATATTATTGATAAAAAATAACTGTGAAAAAAGTTACTTAACACAGGGTTAGTAGTTTTAGTTCGAACAATAATTTTGGAAAACTTAAAAGAGGAAATTCATTCCAATCTATTCATATTAGCTTAAACTACAACTCAATTGTTTCCGCCTTAGATTTATCATACATTTTACTTCTATATTTCCTACATACGGTTTTGGCATGGAGTTTTCAACGTCGCTAAGACAAGACTTGACTATGGTGCGGATACCAGTCCGTGAACTCTCTCCATTACAAAGGTTGGACATTTAACAGTTCAATTTAACGCAACGTATTTACAAGAACGCAACTGCAGCGTATCACTTATGGCTATGTCAAAATTCCAACAAACTTTGTTTATGAAAAATAAGTATGTATGAGAAACGTAATAAAGAATGTTATGTGAAAAAAAAATGAACAGAACGGAAACGGAAACGGAAACAAGAAGCAATTTGCCAACGACAGAGCTATTCATTCATTCGGTTGTTGTCGTGGTCATGTTAACTTTTTTCTGCTGTACCACTAATAAAAGAAGAAGGAGCACTAAAATTTCAAAAAAGTATTGTATACGGAGGTATGTATGTCAATCGGACAACTGGCATCAAATTAGCAATTCTAAACTTTTATTCATATATATATAAATAGGTATGCGAAAAAAAACAAAATTACTTCTCAAAAAATGGTTATTACGAATGTGTGCTTTATTTAATTGGATTTGTTGGTTTTGTTTTTTCTTATTTAAATTGGTTTTTGTTTGTTTAACAAAGCGTACATGCCGATTAGACAACCCATTAGTTAAGCTTTTCTTTTAGTAGGTTTTATTTTTTGTTTTTGTATTTTGTTGACTTACCAATCGGATTCTGGATCCGAAGTTCCATCTCCGATACGTGATTTCCTAAACGAATTCAAAATGTCATTCAAAGCATTACTCAAGTGGCAGTTAAACACATAATTGCATTTGCTAGCTTAAATAAAGGAATTGTGCAGTCTCTTAAATTGAAATTTGTTCTTGGATTTCGGATTTCCTGATACCTACAACCTTGTTGTTTCTTTTAGCGGAACAATATCTTCGTATGACATACATGAATTCTCTTCTCTACATTACGATTACAAACAGTAATATGTATATATTTGAATATGAAATAAAATATGTATGTAATATAAGATATATATTAATATTTTTTCTTTAACGGAACGGAGGAAGTTAGTTAGGAGAGTCAGAAGAATAAATATGTATATTTATTATAATTCAATAAATTATTCCAAATAAACGTTCGACAAGCTTTCTTTCAAGAGATAGTCAGAATTCCAAATACATGTATATCAAATCGGTAATGACAACAAAGGCATACTTTCGAATTCGTCTGCAAATAATCCGAGAAGCGCAGATAACAAAATAAATGTCATTCTGTGAAACAATAAACAGTTCTGTGGCATAGATTTAAAAACTTAACTTTAATTATTTTTCGATTTCAACGATATTCTATGTTTTGTATGTGAAATTTCGTTTTTAGTATATGACGAACAAAAATAAAGTGGAGATGTCGCTACAAACATTCATCAGATGTTGCCTATCAAATTGGTTAATGTTTTTGTTTCCTGTTTCGATGATCGACATCACCGTTATTAACGCGAAACTATTATACACATATCATTTTGCCACTGATAAATAGCACTTCTGTGTGTGTGTGCGTATTTTCTATTTTTTAATATAATCAGTAATTTAAATTGCGTTTTAATTACAAAACGGCACCGTGCTATCTTTCAGGCACATTGTTGTTCTATATCGAGCTTTATCGGCAAAGTATGACAACTAAACAAAAGGAAATTGGTCGGCCCTATTGTGAAATCAAGCAGGCGGAAGCTTTAATATAGAACGTGTTATCAGAAGAAAAATAACAAATGAAAAACAAAAAAAAAAAAAAATCAGGCGTCGTTTTTTATTGAAATAAAATTAACTTCTGACGCACAATAGAATGTTAGAAAATTGGTCATTTCATTTGTATGTAATCGTATATTTCTTGGGGTATTTAGTTATGAAATTTACATTAGAAGGCGGTAGGAATTGAACATACCGCATACCTAACAAAAATATATGTTTTATTATTTTTTAATAAACATGTGCCAAATAATTTCGGATGCAATGTAACATTTTACTATAGTAACATCATTGTCAATGTGTCAAAGTAATTTTAAACTGTTTGAAATTGAGCCGGATAGGGTGGAGATTACGTTTTATGATTTTATTAATTTAGTTCTCTTCGGGATGAGTGTCATTACCTGAATTGTTCTGTAAAAAGGAAGAAAGAGAGCTTCCATTTGCAATGATTTCTGGAAAAATAAATTATTAAGGCTGAGACCGACTGGGATTTGAACGACAGACCTAGGTTTGCAGATGTTGCCGTCTCAAAACAAGATTTTCTCTGAAAAAGATTTGCTAGCAGCATTTGAGTCGAACTTGGGCTGTTATGATGTTTAGCTCGCATATGCTTTATGGAATAACTTCTCAGTAATACTCAATAAATAACAAATACTACCTTCCAAGAAACAGCCACCATTCACACCACGGCAAAATGCATTGCAGAGTCTCTCTGGCATTACTTTTCATTGCAAATTTCAGATCCCTACGTTTGTCTCGAACGAAAAAAAAAACACAAAAAAGGTTTTAACTTAATTTATCGTAATATGTGTTTCGAAGAAACTTGCCAGTTGTCCTTGCCGATTTGATTCGAATTCTAAATATTGAAAACAAAAAAAAATGATCCATTATCAAACGGCTCGACGCATGAAATCTTCAGTGCTTGTGATCTGTTTTTTTTTTTTTTTGTTAGTCATCATTGATCTAAGCTACGATTTGGGATTTATAAACAGACTCTTGTCCTGGTAAAACACTGTGGAGATTAATGAGTTTTGCATCTCAATCCGAAACATTACACTCTCTACGAAACAAATCCAGTTCCCCACTAATAATATGATAACTATTTTGAGGTTACAGAATTTGTACAAACAATTCTTCACTTTTTTGAAATAGAAGAAAATTTGCTAAAAAACAAATAAAATCAAATGTAGGGTCCTATAAAATGTAGGCATTTGTAGAAATGTATATAATTTTGGTGAATTCCGTAACACGGTGTTACCTACAAAAAATCCAAATGTTATTTCATTCGTGATATGTAGTAAAAACAGGTTGTAAGTCCAAAATTGGGGAAAACGCATTGCACACAAAACATGCGATTTTGTAAATCTGAGTTGTGGGGAAAACGCATTGCACACCAAACATGCGATTTTGTAAATCTGAGTTGTGGGTTCATAGTACTTTTTTTCAAAATTCTGTAATTTCTTAATAGATAGACACATGGTACAATAAGAAGGTAGAACAGCTTCGTAAAACAACATCAATACAGTCCTGAGGCTATGCCCGCTTCCTGTCATTATATGCAATTATATGCAACGAGTTGCTTTCATTTTTTTTTTTTAATTTTTATATTTTTCCTCATTGTTAAAGCGCGAAAAATGAATGCAATGCCTCAATTTTCGTCAAAAATGCGTAAAAGCAAATTTTGTGTAAAAGCAAACAAACAGTCGAAGACTCGAAATAAGGCAAGAATCCACGGAACAACCTCTAAAAATGAGGATAATTTACAGAAGCTGCTGCTCCAAATAATGGACTTTTCCGTGGATTTATAAAAAATCTATATTCCTTCAACACATCAAATCCTCGATTTTTAAAGAAAATATAACGCTCTCAAATTATGGATTTTTGAAGAAAGCATATTTGCGCATCTCATATAGTGGATTTTTTTTATTTATTTTAGACCTAAAAATTATTATTTGTGAAATGAGACCAATTTCTAATCTCAAGGTCTTAAAGGATTCGTCTATCAATAAACATTCCGTGCCGAATATTACACTGGTTATTTCTATCCCATATTGGTTTGTATGAGTGTAAAGATGATACGTTCCCCTTTTAAATTATGAAAAAATTGGAACAGGGAACAAAGTCTTTAAAAAGAATTAATTTTTGCGCAGTTTCAAAACTATTCTCCTCCAGTTTAGAAGCTATGAAATGGTAAGTACTCTGGGTCGTTTTCCAATCAAATATTTCGGGTTAAAATTATGACAACAGATTTTGGAGTAGGGATTCAAATTGATTCCACACATCGTACTCTATTTCAATCCTTCCTCCTTGCTTGGCCACATGAAAATACTACTCCTTCTCGATTATATTTTATTTGTATTGTATTTGCACTTTATCACAAATCTGTTTTTAGGTAAAAAAGTTCAGCCGGAGTTTCGACAGATTTATATCCTCAGAATTTGACCACTTCTTTGTGTTTACTTTATTTGAAGGACGTATCATAAAATTAAATAATTCAAACTTACCACTAAATCTAATATTGATACTTTGAAGAGAAAAGGGGAATAATATCACATTTTATGAGAATAATGTTATTCAATATTTCGACCCTTTGTAGAATAGGTACCAGATCAAATGTTCAAATATGATCTGATGAAGATATAGAAGAACATAGGCTATTATCTGGGTGAATCATTTTCACTTTGAGGGATTAGAATTGGTGAATAGACATATGAATGATCTAAAGGAAGGATTGGTCTTTGTTTGTCCTCCAATATGCGTTCGTTTACAAACCACACAACACCTCATATTTGGTTTGCTTTTAACTTCTTCCAAATTTTTCAATTTTAATAATTGTTTAGGATTGTTTTCATTTAATGTATCTGTAGGGCGAATTCATATTACACCAATTCGTTTGACATATCATGTCGCCTACAGCTGGCCTCATAGGGCTACCTTGTAATTCTACCTTGGTACCATGTATAGACGACACATATTTGACACGTTAAACAATTAAAAGTTCTCAAATTAGGATCAGTCCATGGTACAATAAATTCAAGGTAGGGCAGAACTACCATATGATTTAAATTTTTTTATTTTTCTGGCTTAATATGTCGACTTAATTTGTTTATGTGTGTGTATTCTTTTCAATAATAAAAAAAAAATAGTACAGAAAATATTCAAATTTGGGTGTTTTCAAAATGCTTATTGCGTATGCATCCACAAAATCTACAGTTTTTGTCGCGAAATAAACCATAAGAGATATATATAGAACATGATTTTGAAAAGATATTTTGACTTTTCATTCAGTCTTCGCGGTTTTCAATTATTTATTCAAAATAAATGCAACAAGTTGTTTGCTTTTTTATTGTTTTGATAGTAATTCTGACATTACAAGCCAAACAGATAGACCTCCATACTTGCATTTTTTTCAAAGTTAGCCTACCTTGTATTCATTGTACCATGGATCAGTCGTTGCAGAGGTATTAAAGGTCAAGATTTATCTTTTCAATTTTTTGATCATTTGCATGGATGTGAGAGTGTTTTAATCACTTGTTTCTTAAGAAAGGTCAAAATAATTATGAAAACAAATGATAAATTTTCTTAAAAAATATTTTAATTATTATTTTACAAATTAAAAAAAAAAACAATTTACTCAACGTAAAGGAAGAATAATAATAAGACATAAAGAATCAGATATTTAAAAAATTTCATTTACGTAAAAAACTGTAGATGACATGGGTGAATGGCGTTTATCGAAGGCAATGCATCTTCACATTTTCTTATTAGGCGCAATAATATGTACTAATAACACATTGGAAGTATCAATATCTGAAGCATTTGTACTTGTTTTAATTTTGTCCATCACACTCCACTGGCAAAAGAGCTCGGTGTAATTGTGTCCTTTGTGTGCAATTGTTGTTGTGATGACACAATCTGAGCTACATGTATTAGTGCCAAACACATTACCAATTTATTTTTAATAATCCGTTTGGTTCTAGTGAGACTAGTGTGTATTAGTTTTTGGACAATAGAGT